CTCTCTTTTGTTAAGATTTGCCTCCTGGGTAATTTATTCTTACAATTCATCAATTCTCTTCAGCATTTTTTACATCTCTCCTGCAATTCTATCATGTTATGTCTACCAATCTTTAGACAAAATTTCCATCTATAAACTTATTAAGTGTTTATTTTTTAATAAATTTCTAACTCTTTAGTCTTTTTCTAAAACCCATAATTAAATGAGAGTTTTTTAACAAAATCGAGTAATTGTTTCTATAAAGCTATTCTACGAAATCTAAATTATAGTTAATACTAAACCCTATTTAATTTTCCATTCATCATTTTTTTATTTATCAATAAAGAATTAATCCTATTGGTTTGATTTGACTTCATATTCCTCATCGTTTTCTTGTAGGTATATTTTTTTAGCTAATTGAACTAGATAATCTTGATTAAATTAAATTTCCTAGAATTCCCACTTAGATATTTTTAACTTTTCTTTTGTTTGAGCTATTAATTTATAGAGAAAATCAATGATATTGGTTGATTAATTATTATTGTTGTCTGATTATTTTTCACTCTACAATGCATCGGTTTAAATTCTTGAAAAGTATTCATTAATTGATTCTTTTTCCTATTATTCTAAATTAGAAGTTGTCAAGTGCTATTATTTAATGAGTTTTATATGTTTTTCAAAACAATTTGAAAAGCTTGTATACATTTCCTAGTAATGTTCTTGTATAACATCACGGCTTTTAGTAAAATTTTTGATATCTTCAAGGAATTTTGCCAACTTTTACTTCTCTAATCTTTTTTTTATTAATAACAGTTAGAGAATATTAACAATGAGAGATAAATTTGCCCCGATTGTATTTTGAAACGAATTGAGTTCTCTAGTATTCTTATCATGTCTATCATTTTTATCATCATATTTTGTTTTAAATTTATCAAATATCTCTTTTAAATCACTGACTATATTAGTGATAGGCTTTTGAAAAATTTCTAGGTTTTGATTTATGGAACCTTTCAATAATTTAACAACTTTTTCGATTTAACAGATTAGTAATTTAAGTTATTCTACCACTTCACAATTTTCTTATTATTTAATTTTTCCTAATTATTACAATAACGCCTCATACTTTTCTCTCTCAATATTCAATTAATTTTGATTAAGATTTTCATTATTGATAATGTTTAAAGAAAACTCTATTGGAAAATCTTTTATAATTTTCATTATTCTTTCATTAAGAGTTAAAGGATCGGTTTCTTCTATTAATAATTCTCCAAATTCCTTTTCAATTAATTCTAAATCTATTCTTTCCAAGTCAATCATTTATTCTTCCAGAATTATTTTACATAAAAGATAATCTAAAATTCCTTTTTATGTTATTAAATTATTTGAATAGTCTTGTTCAGTAATTTATAATTTATTTAATTCTGCAATAGTTTATTCTTAAAATGAGCTGTCACAGCAAATTATTCTGTTTGAATAATTTTTAACTACATCAATTAGAAACCGATCCAAATTGATAAAAACTTGCAACTTTAAAAATTCTTCTGATGGTATTGTTATTATATTTTCAAAGCATTATTTGAAAGCAATTAATTGCAATTTAAACTTTAAAATGTTCAATCTTTAGTTGTGTATACATTAAAATGATAGCTTTTACAAATATTGTTATTTAATTTCTTATAATTCTTTAGGTAAAGAAACAAACTCTATTTCATATTGTAACATTAGAATTGTCTTAAAACTTAACAGTTATTCATTAAAGTATTTTTACAGTTCCTAGATCTGGTGTACATAATAAATATTTAGGTTATTCAATAAACTGTTAAAGTATTGAATTATGGTATCCTTTTTTAGTAAAGAAATTTCTAGCTCTGAGACTTATTTTTCAGTTTTTTCTATTAGTTATAACATGTATTGAGCTGCTTTCAAAAAACATTTCTTATTGTGCGTTGCATTAGGCAAGGCAAGTAGCTTCTACTTAAACTTATTGACAAAAGAAAATTATTTATCTATTATATTTAAATTTTATAATTCCTTCTAAATCAACTCTATCTCTTACTAAAGCATTGTGCTTTCATCTTGTTCATTTCTCTAATCATTAATATCTTAAATTATTTACGATAATATTTATTCTAAAAGTCTCATAATATATCTAAGTTATTAAAATATTTAGAATTCATTAATTTTTTTCTATTCAAGTTATTCCATCTAAAAATCTTATTTCCTTATACTAAGATTAATAATTTTAATTATTTTTAAAGTGTTTTGGAAATATTCTTTGAAATTTAGAATCATATTTTTTAATTATGAATTATACGTAGCTTATTCAATTGCGATATTATAATACTAATTTTTTTGGATAAAATTTTTATAATTTTTAACAACTACTCCCAATCTCTCATCATTTTCCTGAATTAATGCTATTAATTTATTTGAAATGATGAAATCGAAAAATTGTTTAATTTTGTAAACTGCCTAAGTAGATTGATTTTCTTATTTTTCTATACTTCCTAATTCTAATTTTAAATAAGAACCAAATGTGAAATAGATATTATCTTTTTTTTCATTCATTAGGAATTCTTTTAGCAACATAAAGTTTTCCCATTCTTTGAAGGAGTCTTCTAGTATTAATTTATCAATTTAAGTTATTTATTTATTTTTAAATTAATTAAGCAAGATTAAAGCTTGGTCATTGCTATGATTCATTTAAATCAGAAATCCTTTGTTCATATATTCCTGCCATTTGGCTTCAAGATTAAAAGAGCTAGCCTGCTTTAGTTTTTGTTTGGTTATTAGAGGGTTATAGATTAAGATTTTTCCAATCATTTAGATCCACAAAAAATGATTTTGCCAATTACTTGAATTTTTCACAAGGTTTTAATGTGTTTTCTCAATTTATATAATTATTTCTTCCAAATTCTGTTAGCTGTCATTTTTCAAATTATTTATGATCTCCCATTGCAACGTATCAATTTAAAAATATACTTCATATTATTCTCTATTTTTTTATACTGTATACTTATTGTAAAGTAGGCAGGCTCCACGATACAATTCCATAAACAATTCAGTATTAGGTTTCATATCAAATATTGAGTTAAAGATACCATTTAGGCAACCATTTAAAATATCATCCCTATCTTTACCATCATTTGGGGCGATCTGAAAAGAAGTTTTTGTTAAGAAAACGTAAAGTTCCAATTAATTATGAATTAAATCATTCTTTTCTATTTCCATTTATTATCTTAATTCATCACAAATATCCACAAATTTCTTTTATGTATCACAGTTCATAAATCTCTAATCCTTTCTTGTATGGAAACTAAATATCACTTTGGATAGAGAAGCTGTCGTCCTTAAGATGAATAAACATTTAAATGAATCCGTTCTGACATAGATCAAACAACTTCTCAATAATTTTAGGATTCCATCTATAAGTAAGTTGTATGATTTCAAGACCTTTTAGGCATTCTTGATGAGTTTATAAATGTTTTCCTCTTAAAAAATAAACCATTATATGGCTATCATTATTTCTTAAGCTTCTGATTGATTAGCAGCAACATTTGCTTTAGAGTAAATCGTTTAGACAAAAGAATCAAATCTAGTAATGAAATTTTCTATGTCTTAAATATCAGACTTTAAGACTATTTCTGTGTTGGGTATTGTTTTAATAGAGCCACAACCACCTCCACGTAATTAGGATGTTATCTTATTCAATCGGCCTGACATTTTTATAAAAATTTAAATAATAAATCAACACCGGTATAAAACAGTTTATAAACTCACAACAAATACAAATATATTTTGTTAATATTATTTAATGATAAAAATTATGTTAAATAACATATAAATAATTTATTAACATAAATATTAAATAAAATATTACTTTCTCAGACCAAAGTTCTCGTTTTTTTAGTTACTAAATCCATTTGCAAGATAACTTTAGCTAGTTAGCAATAATATCTGTGAATTATACAAAAATCTAACATTTTTCAGCAGGTAAAACATCCACAAGTTCCATCAGTTCCGACAGTACAAGAGGTCTTTAATTATATGCTTGCATATGATGTAATAGGGATGCATACAGCTCCATTAGGTGTGCATAATTGTGAAAATATTTAGCATTCAGGATGTGTCTTTTTCATTGCGGCTTTACATTCTTCATACTCATAACATTATCTATAAATCTAAAGACATGGTTCAGCGCTAAACTTTAGAGAGAATTATGTATTGGCAAATTCAATACTTTAGTCTCAAGCCAAATAACCAATCCATTTGTTTTACATCCTGAAAGAAAGTATGATATTCACCATCAGTTAAGCCATTTTTTTATCACTGCAAAATTTATCTTTGCATTTATTTATTGTTGCATCCAAAAACATCTAACTACTCCATTTTTATGTGTTAAGTCAGCCACAAACAATTAAGTCTTGTTTGATGAACAAATTGAAATAGTTATGCATCTAGCAGTAGAAATAGTACAATTTTCAGCAAGGTTTTCTTGTTAAGCATGTGAATTTATTGTTGCAGATTGATCTTCGCATACTTAACTCTAAATGTTGAATTAGATTCTTACCAAGCTTAGAACTTACCATTTACTTTGGATTTTGTACATCAAGAGTAATTCGTAGTATGTAAAGAAGAACGTGATCCACTAACTACTAAATATTAACTTGCCCATTTTTATTCATCTCTTATTTTGCATGGAGCCTATTATTTCAAATATTTAAATTATTTAATACTTTTGTATCCATAACCAGAAGTACAACAATCTTTATGATGCTTCTGAAAATCGGTATCAGTTGTAAGAGTATTGAGTGTTTCTGTAAATTATCTATTAACACATGTTTCTTTGGCAGTTCCAACTTTTGTAGTTTTGCGTGGACCATTTTAGACAAAAATAGTGCCCTGTCTATTAAGTTTAATTGAAAGCATTACAAAGTTTTCCATAATAAATACATGAAGTTCCATCAAAGACACAGAAAGGATCATTAATTGTTATAAATTGTGGCTTACCATCATTACATTCTTTTTTGTGTTTACTTGAAATATTACTGCACTTCTTCTTAACACAATTTGATTTAGTAAAGATCCCTTAAATTTTGAGCAAGCTACGAGCATGACCTATATTGCACCAACACATCCAATACTCTTATTTATATAACATTTCTTGATAAGTGGCACATTCAATATCGGTTATAGCTGAAGTGTTTCAGTACAACTTCTTACTTTGCATTTATTAGTTTCAGTATTTCCAGCATCGTCAGAACTTTATTCAGAAGTGGTATTCATATTAATATCCAGTCCAATAATTTTTTAAATAATTTACTTAATTATTTAATTCCTCTGTATGATGTGCATGGTTTTATATTTTGAGTACTTCCTTTACTACGAGTGACACATCGACTTAAATAAGAATCAAATTCAGAATCAGTTATTATTGTAACTTTTTCATAACCTGTTTTTTTTTTAAATGCTGAAGTTGAGGTAGTAGCAGTTGTTATTGGTCTGCATCTATAGCGTTGAATCTAACACAATTTGGTTATTTCCTACATTTTGAAGTAGCAGCATTATTAGTACTTGCGTATTTATCGGTTAATTTAATTGCCCAATTAAAAATAATTATTTCCTCCAAGGAATGTAGACTTATTTTCGCTAGTATCATTCAATGTTGTATATAAATACTTAATTTGTAGTTCCACTATAAAGATAACAATCTTTATAAATAGCGAATGTTGTTCCTAATATGTAAGTGCATGTAGTTGCAGCATTGAATTCATCAAAATAAACCTTCAGATGTAAATTTTACTCCTGATTAAAGCATTTCCTAACAGGTAATATATAAGGCTTCCCTGGTGCTCCTAAATCGCAATCTATTAGAGAGGTAGAATGTTATTTACTTTAGCAATAAAAGTCTATACATGAGCTATGAAAGCACATTTTTTCTAATTGCGTAAATTTTGCTTAAACCATATTTTTATTTATCAGAATCATAAGTGGTTGGAAATACATATGAATCACAAACACCAACATCCTTACATTAAGTCGGAGCTCCTCCTGCTTTACAATACATTATTTTATCAGGTAAATAAAATGATTAACAAAATTCTACCTCTAAAGCTGCTGATAACCCTAAATCTGTATGTACTTTATTGATACAGTCATTAGTTGCAAATACACCTGTTTCTGATGCACAACATTTAGTATAATTTTAGATACGTCCAGTAATGTAATTATCACAATCTCTTTAACTAGTAAGTGAAGGGATATCTGCACATATTGCACCATTAAAAACAATAATGAATGTTGTAGCTGTATTTATACAGAATTTATTACTATCTTTGGTTGGTTGGGCTAAACAATATGAAGGTTTTAATGCAAATATAACACCAGAATTTGCATCAGTGGTTTATAAATTTTTAGTTTTATCACTCTCTAAGTTTCAATACTCAGTAGTTTATATTATACTTTTGCGATAAAGAGATTTTTATGAATATTTTCTAAATGTACTTGGGATATTTGTAACAACATTACCAGTAGTAAAAGCAGTATGAAATTTTCCTCTACAATATAAGTATCCTGTTTATAAACCTTGCATTCTACTAAAATTTAAGCTGAATTAAAATCTGAACAAGCTGAAATGGTATCTGAATAAAAAAAACTTTTTTTAGACTGTTGATACTGTTGCAATTTTAGTTAAATCAGTAACAACCTTAAATCCCCAACACTATTCTTACTTTTTAGTTGTAGACAAAGCCTAATCAATTTTTTAGTATGTAAAAGCAGTTGATAACGTGAAACAAGTTGAATCTGTTACTTTTAATATATCCCTGCAGATATAAAGAGAGATTAATCATTAAAGGTTTTTACATCTTTTAGGTGTTTAATTTTTCATAACTATTCTATAATTTACATTTAGTATCACAAGATTTAAATGTACATATCACTCCTTTTAGAGAAATCAATTATGTATAGAATTATTGTTAAAAATATATATATCGGTGTTTAGAAAGATAGATTAGGGAATAGTTTTGACTTTTGGAATGATTGTTATGACAACTTTTCTATTTGTAAAAACTAATTTTAAGAATTTAATGGAGGCTGAAATTATTTTTCTCTAATAAATTTGATTAATTATAATATTCGAATTAATGTTATTTTATAATGATAAATAAGTTTTTGGAAATTTTTCAATTAGAAAACCAATTAGCATGCATATTATAGGTTTATGTAATTCTATTTCAAATATTAGAAACATATTAAAAAATTAGAAATTAATCTTGAAAATCCATTTTTCACTCAAAAATGAAATTTAAACTAAAAATACCATGCAAATCTCAATAGCAGTAGCCAATTCGGCAATTGGCTCTAATTATATAAAAAACAGACCATAGTTCAGCTATCAGAGCAGAGCATATATCCAAATTGATGAAAAATAAGGTAATAATAATATAAAATCAAATTTTTAGATTGGGCAAGTTTTTAAATAATAAGAACTTCAAAATAGCTTTGGAAAATATTCAAACATACTAATAATGCCAACCTTTGGGATTTTAGATTCCGAACTTATTCTGAATAAAATATGAATGATTAATGTGTAATACGCGCTAAATCCTATTCGTTTGCTCTTCACCAAATTACTCCTGTAAGCTAAACTATACCTGTAGAAAACTTAAGTCTATAAAATTGATTCTAGAAAGTTCAAATTATGATACACTTGTGAAATTGTCAGCTAATGAATTAAATTTCTGTTTAAAATTTTCATAATATTTGGTAATCATATTTCCACTTCAAGAAAATTCAAATCTCAAATTATTTAGCTGAATGTCCAAAATATTAGTATTCAAAATATTAAAAAAGTAAATTATTCAATATTCAATTTTAAAATATTTAAGATAATTATTGAAATTTTTCCCACAATATTATCAATACATCACCAAGTGCTTGTGATATTTATGAAAAATTTATTTAATTATAATAATTTAATTCCTAATGCAATCTAAAAATCACATATATTGAAGATATGAGATACTAATTAAAGAATAGTACAATAATGCTAACACTACTTAAGAGAAAAATTGCAGACCTATCAATTTGATGTTTGATTTTTCAGCATAAGAAATCAAAATGTATTTCAAATTTTCTTATCTGAATAATTCACAAGCTTAAACTTAATAAATAAGATTAAGTATCATTTTTCATGCTATTAAAATACAGAAAATGAATATGGCAAATAATTAAGCTCTAACGTATGATTGGTTATCTTAACAAATAATAAACCACTGTAAAGGTGATCATGATATAATTTTTGGAGACTTGAGACATTTTCTATGAATGACAGATGAGGATAGGTAAGATANATAATGATAAATAAGTTTTTGGAAATTTTTCAATTAGAAAACCAATTAGCATGCATATTATAGGTTTATGTAATTCTATTTCAAATATTAGAAACATATTAAAAAATTAGAAATTAATCTTGAAAATCCATTTTTCACTCAAAAATGAAATTTAAACTAAAAATACCATGCAAATCTCAATAGCAGTAGCCAATTCGGCAATTGGCTCTAATTATATAAAAAACAGACCATAGTTCAGCTATCAGAGCAGAGCATATATCCAAATTGATGAAAAATAAGGTAATAATAATATAAAATCAAATTTTTAGATTGGGCAAGTTTTTAAATAATAAGAACTTCAAAATAGCTTTGGAAAATATTCAAACATACTAATAATGCCAACCTTTGGGATTTTAGATTCCGAACTTATTCTGAATAAAATATGAATGATTAATGTGTAATACGCGCTAAATCCTATTCGTTTGCTCTTCACCAAATTACTCCTGTAAGCTAAACTATACCTGTAGAAAACTTAAGTCTATAAAATTGATTCTAGAAAGTTCAAATTATGATACACTTGTGAAATTGTCAGCTAATGAATTAAATTTCTGTTTAAAATTTTCATAATATTTGGTAATCATATTTCCACTTCAAGAAAATTCAAATCTCAAATTATTTAGCTGAATGTCCAAAATATTAGTATTCAAAATATTAAAAAAGTAAATTATTCAATATTCAATTTTAAAATATTTAAGATAATTATTGAAATTTTTCCCACAATATTATCAATACATCACCAAGTGCTTGTGATATTTATGAAAAATTTATTTAATTATAATAATTTAATTCCTAATGCAATCTAAAAATCACATATATTGAAGATATGAGATACTAATTAAAGAATAGTACAATAATGCTAACACTACTTAAGAGAAAAATTGCAGACCTATCAATTTGATGTTTGATTTTTCAGCATAAGAAATCAAAATGTATTTCAAATTTTCTTATCTGAATAATTCACAAGCTTAAACTTAATAAATAAGATTAAGTATCATTTTTCATGCTATTAAAATACAGAAAATGAATATGGCAAATAATTAAGCTCTAACGTATGATTGGTTATCTTAACAAATAATAAACCACTGTAAAGGTGATCATGATATAATTTTTGGAGACTTGAGACATTTTCTATGAATGACAGATGAGGATAGGTAAGATAAATTTCTCTCTAATCTATTCTTCCAAAAATATTTTATAAGGAATCATTTTGACTTTAATTTTGCAAAATTGAAATTCTACTACAATTAATATAATATATGATGATTTGAAGTATAAAAGAATAAATCTCTTTTATTAAAGGATAAAGGACATAAATCAATTTATTATTGATGAAAGATATTATAAAAAATTTGGCTAATAAAGATTAAGTAGTGATAATCCAAATCGATTTCTCAATTACACATCACTCTTTTGGCAATTAAGAATTATATTAAAAAATGACATTCAATTCCTATGTTAAGAAGAAGTTAAATTCTTATGAGCAATTCATAACAATAAATTTTACATATTTCCACATTATATTAAGTTATAATATAATTCAAAAACTCCTAGTCCCACAAGGATAACCAATATTTCCCCTTATATTTAATAATTTCCTGGGAAGTTGAAATAAAATTTAAGTATTAGGATATCCAGATGATTTAGCATTCTTATTTAACAAGAGTATAAGCAATTTTTTTTTTTTATTCATTTATCAAAGACAAAATTTCAGTCTCTTTAGGGGTATTATACATTTATTTAAGAATAAACATGATTAATACCACTTGAATTTTAAAAGCACAACAAAAAATATCATTTTAAATCCCTTAATGAAAAATATGAAGATAATTTTGGTTACCTATTTAGGTTAATATTATTATCCAAATTTGCTTTAAACTTAATTATAATAATAAATTCATTTTACTAAAAATTGAAAGTTAAATTTTGAAAATTAAAATTTATGTTCTATTTTTTTTTTGAGTAATTATGATTCCATTTCTTTATTTGATATCAATGTCATATTAAAACAATATCAATTTAATCATAATTCTTAATAAATTATTACTTTGAACTCTTTTAAAACTATTCCATACTCATTTATATCTGGGTTTAGGGATTTCAAAATAAATAATTGATCGCTATCTTAATAATCTGTAAAGGAAAATAACTATTTACAACTAAAATTGTTTTTCCTTCATAAATAATAAGCACAAGCAAATCAAATAATTTTTTCTCCTCATACAACTTGATGATTTGATTTTATCTGGCAGTGGAGACAAAACTTTCAAATTTTGGTTCTCGAATAATGATTATACTATAATATTTTTTTAATAAAAAATTTAAGAACATAAAAATTGGGTTTATTCATTGTCAATCATTTATGCTTGTAATAACACCATGATTAATAAATCTTAATCATAGAATTAAATAAGGTCTCTTAAATCTTGATTTTAATTTAGAATATAATGATATAATTATCCTTCTCAATAAATATAGATCCCTAAATTTATTAAAATTTAATTATTATGGAGATAAGGTTGAATTCTATTTACAATAATCTTGATTATTTGCATTTGGAACGATGAGTGAAAATGGAACTTATTTGACTTTTTGGGATGATGAACCAAAGAAAATTTCAATTTATGCTTAAACAGTTTTAAACTAAAAAGTGAAAAATGAAACTCTTCATTATCTATAAATTTGATCATTTAACCAAATATTAATTTATATTATATAATAAAAATTATAGTACAAAAACTGCTATTAATTCAAACAAATAATTATCTAATATTTATTCTCAAATATATTATTTTACAATAAGAGAAAAATATTATTAATACTTAAATAATTATTAGAATTCTATTAAGCATTAATACTAAGAACTTCCAAATAATTAATCCTAAATTCACTATAATAGGCTTTTGATATTCTCTCAAATAATTTTGGAGAATAATAATCTATGAGGAAAAAATTAAAAAAAAATAACATCATTAAACTTAATAATTAAATATTGTAAATATATCTTCCATTTAAATATAGTATTATGTTTTTGAATATAAAATTCACGAATCATTAATGTTGAAAAGAAGTTCTAATTGAAGAACTATTATTTTTGGAATCCAAATACTTTTTCATTATAAATTTGAAATCAGTTAAGAAATTAGTTTCAACAAAAGTATTAAATTATTCTAATCCACATTCAGATTGAAATTCAACTTCATTTTTTTAAATAGGATTAATATCTAAAATGGCTGATTCTTATATAAGCTCATTCAACTTTTCCTCAATTTTGTAATCAATATATTAAAAATGATATGATTCTTTATCTGACTAAGAGTGATTAGAATCTAAGAGCGATTAATTTTAATGGCTATTTGTAATCTAATAGTAATCATATTTAATCAATTCATTCACATCAGTTTGGATATTCTTAATCTAATCTTATTAAAGTGTTATTAATTATTCTCCTATAATATATTCAACCATATTGTAATTGTTTGGATGTTATAAGCAATTTATGAGGAAAACTTTTTCAATAAATTATGAAATTTCTTAATTCATCTATTTCTTAAAATTAATATTGTTTGGCTTATTAGCAATGGCAACTAATAATGAAAAGAGTTACTTACTTGTAAAATAAAAGAACTTTTTTGAGTAGTTAATAAATATTTCTCGTTTACATGTATTATGAATGTGCTATCTCATAGTCAAAAACATCAAAACTATTCAATAGTATATTTTATAATATATAATAACCAAAATTAGTTTCTTAAGGAGTTATCAATTTTTATTGAAGTTAAATCTAAAGAAATATTTCACCTAAATGGATCCTTCATATAAAATAGAAATTTTTTTTCCTTTCTTCATAAAGTAAGGGGTTTCTATTCAAGAAGTTATTTAATTGGATTTTATATAAATTAGCAAAAAATATAAATATATATCAACTCCAGTTCTGTAAACATTTAATCCATTCATCACTAAAACCTACTTACTTCCTTTTTTATACATTAATTTTCCAATTTTTGGGAATCTAGTAATTATTCATTAATGTAATAAAATTTTCCTAAGGATTTTAATCTTTGCATAATAGCTCAAACCATTTAAGTCCAATTCTAACATGGTTACTTTCTTCTTAGACTATCTTTTTAATTACTTTTTCATATTTATTATCACCATCTAATTTTTAGATCAAATTCAATCCTGTATCCATTCCTCTGCCTTCATTGACAATGCTCAAAACTGCTATTCTTCCTAAAAGAGAATCCATAGTTAAAATCATTCTTTTTTACAGATTATTATGTACTGGCTAGGATCCATATTTGCATAATTGAGTAATTAATTCAAAATGGCAAAATTCTTCATATGCAATTTATCCTAATTCTTCCTTAAATTCTTTTTGGAATTATGCTGGAACTTGATTGATAAATCTAACAAGTGTATCTATATATGATTTCATGGCATTATATTCAATATGCGCTATAGAATGGATTACTTAATCTTTTATAGGTATATGTTTAATTGATTATTCCAAATCATAAGTTGACATAATCTTTTCTATTATTATTTATTACCTTTACATTTTCATCATAAGAATAAATTGGTATATCTTCATCTGTTGAATCAATTGGTAAACTCATAAATTTTCTAATGTCATCTAGACTTATTTAAGATTTTCTTAACAAAACCTTCCCAAAATTTATCATAAAAATAAATTATTAAAATTTTACATTAAATTAATTTCTAAGCTGTTGATTTTATTTAATGTTAATAAAGGTTGAGGACATTACAGTATTTTTATAATTCTTGATTAAATCATAAGCCAATTGATTACCAGAAATCAGAATGTACAAATAAGATTTGTAAAAATATTCAAAAAGATGTTGATTTTCAAAAATATAATTTCTTACTAACATATAGGGTATGGTCAATATTCTGTGTAGTAAAGTTATAAGTTCCATACTTTAATTTCAGTTTTTAAATGGTTTAAGTAATAATAGCGATATAATAACATGATATTTATTGTTAAAACAAGGGAATTATTTCAAAGTTCTTTTTTTTTGAAATATTTGGAATAAATATAATTTGGTAACTCTATATCTCGTTATTTATCAAGCTGTGTTTCTTTACTTTATATTGGTGATAGGTTTTACATTATATTATTATCATTTAAATATTATTAATTACTGTTAAAATATGCTGCTATGTATTTAATCAAGATCTCTTGCCAAATTAGATTAAAGAGTAAAATAAGGTTGATAAGCGATAATTTAAAATTATATCTTTTTTAGGTTAATTTTGATTATATTGTTACAAATTATTTAATCATCTATTACATTTAAATCTATATACATGATTATATATTCTCTTTTAACTAATACAATTATTCATGTAAACTTCAACTTGAAACGATTATAATATCAGACTTCCAAAAGAATTTGAAAGAAAACAAATATGACATCAGGAAAACTAAAGTCTAAGTTTAAGTTTATGGTATTGAAAAAAATGTAAATACTTCTCTACTTTAGAATTTACATTTAATATGACATTCCCCACAGAAGGAAAAGTTATTCAATACAAAGTTAAATGAGTTTAGAATTTAAATAATAATTGTTTCAACATGCCTTATTTTGAGTAGGTAATTTATCCACACTATTATTCAAAGCACTTCTTGCATTAATAGAAATTACAAGTATAGGTTTTTCTGGGGATTTTCAATTTGAAAGCATTTTATTATTGTGAAATTTGTCCTTAGCTATAATAGATTCAATTATTCAAATATAGGTAATAAAAAGAAATGGATGAAGGAAAACAAGTTCAATATTATAGATAAAAAATAGCTCTAAATATCAATTATTCAAATCTTAGATGGTGTGCAAGGGACAATGGATTCTTTTTGGATTAAATTTTCAATTCTAATAATGTTCTGCCCATCATCTTAATCATATTTCAAGATGATCGAAATGAAAGAGTGTTATACTTCATTTAGACCTAAATTACAATAGATATAGAATAAATTAATTTACATTGAGCAAGATTTTGTAATTATAAAATCATAATTAACAAATCTATATTTTATAGTTAGGCTTGCTGAGAGACATTTTTAAAGAGGAATTTAAACCAAAAAGATGAGTCTATTTTTACTCTGAATGCAATCAAAGAACAAATTAAGTTATTTTCAGAATCAACTTTATAAAATAGTTTATTGGCAATTACGAGTTAATAATAAAAATTAATAAAATAGTTTGTGTTGTCTCACAAGTATATTAGCTTTGAAAATCCAAGAAATTTGACAATAATTAACCTCCTTTTTGTATTATATAGGAGATTCAAATATAAAAAAATGATTAAATATTTTGTGTTTAATTTATAGATAATTGAATATTAAAATTTTAGAACTCAAATTATTTTTTTTGTGAAGATAAAATTTCAATTCCAGTAATTTTACACCATTTTAATAAAATTTAATTAATCTCTCCTTTTTAATAAATAAAATAATTTTTGATTTTTTAGATCTAACATTTTACTTCACATTATTTTTAAATTTAATTACAAAGTTGATATATAAATGAAATTCAAAATTAAATTTAGTTTTAATGAAAATAAAATGGAAGGATAAAATAAAAATCAATTATGAAAAGAATGAATCAGTTTATGATAATGCAATATATACATCATATTTCAGTTATTTCAAGGATATCTTTATATTTTCTTATATGAATCTCCCCTTTTTTCCAATCCCATGTTATTAAATACTCTCCATTCTCACTTATTGTCCCAAATACAGCTCCACATTCAAAATTATCTTTACAATCAAAATAAATAAACTATTCTAATTTACATTAGTAGGATTCTCTTTCTTAAGGGGAATTGACAATATTAAATTTTAATATATTTACCGTTCATCCATTTTTTAGAAGAAGTATTTATTTCGATTGAACAAAAAGTGCTGGAAATTCAGCATCACAAAATTGTCCTCCTCCTTTAATTATATATTCTTCTCTTTTTCTGAATTTACTATTATCTTTGTTTAATGTGTATATGTGGAGAGCCTTTCCACCCTTCCACTGTTCTCCATTATTATTAGGTAAGAAGATAAACATTTTACTTGTGATAAAACAAATCCGTAGACCCCATTTTTTTACACTAATTTTTTGTATGACATTCCAATATTTAAGATTAGAATTCTCTCTATTCATAACCAATATGTGCTTGTCTGAACTACAAGAAATAAGTGTAGTTCCTGCTTCATTCATCGATAATCCATAAACCGCATCATCATGTTCATTAATTGTCTATTAACAAGACCATGATGAACAAGAACTAAAATGATACCAAAATTTTATAGTATGATCATCTGATCCACTAACAATTAAATTTTTAAAATGTGAGCTATAATGAAGACATCTAACTGAATCTTAGTGCTAATTAAGTTTTATGAGATATTTAGGATTGGATATACTAATTTCTGACCAAATTACGATGGAAGAATCAAGTGAACCAGACACAAATTACTATCTTCCCTTCATAAAATTAAGAGTATAAACTAACGATTAATGCTTATTTAATATTTGCATTAGTTTGAGTCCATTTTTTGAAAATTAAAATAGTTTGATTCTTTATTCATCAGATGTTAACAGATAAGTGTTGTTGTGATTGATTGCTTTAGCATAACAATAATTTTGAAGTGATTGACTATATTCAGGAATTAATTCATAATTAAAAGTGCTCTTCTACATTTTCTAATTTTGTTTAACAATTAAATAATTTTAAATTTCATTAAAAAATTAAAAAGTTTTTAAATAAGGATTAATTTGCTTACTTAGCAATATAATTAGTAAGAATTAATATTTTTTGCTTAAAATGATTTGATAAATTATATAACTCTTTTTATATGCTTAATAAAATAACAAAGCTTTATAGAAAATCAAATTATTCTCATTATTAGTTTATAAAGATTTTTAAAAAGAAAAAGATATAATATATTGGAAGATGAACCTGAAGAAATATCTAAAAATGAAGTATTACTAGTTTGAAAAAAGGTTATTTTCAGATTTAATTAATATACTTAACAGAAGAAAAATAGAAATGAAATAAAAAATTTAAGATTTAATAAATGATATTTATCTAAAAATATAAAAAGAAATAAATTAATATATGTATGAATTTATTTATATAGATTTAAGAGTATACCTCTATTAAAAGTTGCGATGAAAATAAGAAATTTACTAATTAAGAGTAGAAAATGTAACAATAGCAAAAAATTGATTGACTTTAATTTATAATTATTCTATTTAAACTGAAGAGAAAATTAATTAACTTAAAGTTATTGGGGATAATTATTTCATTAACATTGAAATTTTTAATATACTCCTACTATTGATTATGCATATTATATATTGACCCAAAATTACTCTGTTTTTTAAATTCTATCAAGATAAGTTTGGATTCGCATTTCTGAATAACTAAAATGAATGAAAAATCATTTAGATTCCAACTTATTAGTCTAAATTTACTTAATTATGAATGATTCCATTTGAATTTATGAATAGAATTCTATCTAAAGTTAAAGTTACAAAATTTTTAATTATAATAGTATATTTCCAAAAGTAAAGAATAGTTCAAGATAAAATAAGAAATGAATATTTTAAGGTTAATTGATGATGTCAACTTATTTATCTTAAGAGATTCTTATAAATTGAATATTGTTATCAACATGATTTTATAATTAAATGTTAATGTTAACTCATGTTTATTTCAGAATATATATTTACTCTTTAAATAAAAATAATTTAAAACAATTATTCTTATTTATAGAAGATTAAGTATTTATTTATTAGGATAAACAAGTTTTTATTATAATAATTAAATTAAAGACATAAGTTTATTAATTTATTTTATATAAACTGAAAATAATTGTAGAAGAAATGTAATCATAACAAGCATGGCATGGTTTGAAATCTTGTAAATTTAACTATTCGGAAGTAATTCTTAACTAAAATAATTAGAAAATTCATATAAAACCTTAAGATTGTATCACCGATTTTGCAGGAGGAGAAATTTAATAGCCATTAGGAAGAGTACATTTTGATCCAAAATTTGGAGATCTATATACATGGGTACCTCATCTCAAAACTAATATACCGAGACCTGGTGATGGTAAATCATAAGAATTTCCTCCTGGTATATGATAGCAGTTATCATATTAGGAAAATAATTTATTGAACATCATCCATAAGAAAAGAAACCTAGAGCATAAAGACTTCATCTGAAAGAAGGATAGTCAGGACATCTTGAGGATGTTCCATATGGAATAAAAACATTCCCACCAATTCATTGTGAAAAGAGACATGAGATTGAAGAAATGATGGGAAAAAAGTAAAGATTAGAATATCTCTATTAAATGAGAAATGGGTAACTAAAGTATAAAAATTTAGATTGCCAGTAGCATCTTTAGGAGATAAAATATACAAAAACCCTGAATATGCATCTGATTTTTTTAAGGAGGGAGGTTTAATTACAGGATCTAGTAATATTTAAAGAAAAGTCAATATTAATTAATTGCATGAAAAAGAAATGGAAAAAAAAATATAATTAATATAATCTAAGATTAAGAAGGGAACACTTTGGAGTGATAAAGTAAAAATGGATTAGGATGCTGAAAAGAAATAGGATATTGAAGTAAATACTAATGTATAATTTTAGGACTTAGATACATGGATAGAAAGTACTTTAAAACCTTCTAATCCAAACTATTAAGATCCTGATAAATTTTTTGAGAATTTAGAGAAACAATAAGCTTAAGATCCTAAAAAAGCATAAGCAAATTAAAAAAAAGCTGGAAAGAAATGATTAGACAAATTAGAATTATCATACTAAATTTTATGTCGTTTTATTTATTTTATTTCATCTATATATTATACTTTATATCATTTACAAATTTACAATATAATTATAGATTGATAGAATCTTCTAAAAAATAATAAAGTGTAATTCTAAATCATTAATTAATATTTTTTATAACAACATTATTTGCTAATGAACAATGATTAAAGTATTTGGAAATATAGACCATCTGCTTTGTATAGAGAAAAACAATATAGTATATTTAGATAAGTTGGACATCAATCTCTTAAATAATTATAACCATAAGAAATATAAAATAAAAAGAAAAGGCATAATTTCAGTTTATAAAACTCTTTTGAAAAACTGCCAGAATTAGAGAAGACTAGATAAAAATTTAAATATGAACTTCCTAAATTGGAGTATCCATAACCTTTAAAATTAATGACAGTTGAAGAATATAGAGTAATTTTAGAGAAAAGAATCAAAGAAGAAGAGTAAAAAAAAAAATCAAAATGGGAATTACCTAAAATAGAAGTTTATGTTAAACCCAGCAAATATTCAATTAAATCATTAGTTGATAATGAGAAACTTAGAATAAAAATGGAATAATTCTTATTAGATTGAACGAAGAATAAATATTTATGATTAAATACTGAAATGTTAATATAGATTATATATCTCTTATTTAATATTCTCATTTAATTAGCATCTTTTTAAAAGTTTATCTTGTTTTGACTTATCTAGAAAAATAGCTCAGGCAAATCATGCAACTCCATTTGCCTTTAGGTATTTCCTTTAGTTTTAAACATCGTGGATGAAAGACTCTAGGACAAGTATCGCATAAAAGAACTTTTCCTCCTTATCCACAAACTTTACATTGTTCTTCCCAAATATTTTCTCCATCTTAAATTTAAGCTTTGTTTACTTAATCTCTATAGATTTCTTCAATAATTAAAGAAGGTTATAATGATTGTTATTAAAGTGTATTTTTTTTCTTTTCTTATCTTTAGAATTCTTCTTGCTTTCTTTGAATGTACATTTTAATTACTTCTTTTAATACAACAAGACAAGTTTTAAGTTATAATAAATCACAATATTTATCCTTTACTTAATCTAATAAGCACTATCTAAGATTTTCAAAATAACATCCAAATAATTTCATTGGCATTCTTCTTATTTTTAATTTACTTGCATCAAGAGCTTCTAATTATTTAAAGTTTTCATTCTCAACATCTTCATCTTCTACAATTTTTTTTTTTCTTGTAATTAAAAATGCTGAATCTTCATCAAAATCAATATATAAATTATCTTCTAAAGTATCTCCCTCTTATAATTTATCTAATCTTTCTTAAGTTTAAGTGTTCTCTATAAAAAATTCCACTGCTTTCTTTAAACAATCAATTGAATCTTTATTATCATCATAACTTTTTCTAAATACATTACGTATACTAACACTACACCATCTGCAATTTTTTTCATTTAAGTAATTAGTCAAAATAGTGTCAATTTCAGTTAACATTTTACAAAGTTAGATTACCTGAATGTCTGTTTATTAGTTTGATTATTATTATTTCCCATTTTATTTATGATTTTCTTCTTTTTTCTCAGATTCCTTATTTTAATTTTAATTTGAAGGATTTGGTTCAAAAATAATCAATTTTTACTTCTTTATTTCTTCTAGATTAAATTTTAATTAGTATTCTTTTATTCCCTTTAAATTTAGACTTTTTAAAAGAATCTCAACATCATCAAAATTATAAAACCTAAATTAATTTTAATAATACCCCCATTTCATAGTTGAATCAATCCAAGAATTTCTTTATTAGACAAATACTTTATCCCTTTCATTAAGAAAGAAATAATACAATGAATATTTTAAATCAAATCCTAAAAACATGGATGGATTAATTAATAAATTTGGAATTTATACTAAGTGTAACTCCTAAAATAAAATTAAATATTTACTTCTTCAAGTTAAATATATCTTTCTTGAACTGATATTAATTTCTTTGTTATCTAAGATTTAATTTATTCTTTTTCATTCATTTTCACATTTATATTTTCTATCTATTATTGAATATTCACAAAATCAGTTTTACTCAAATCTCCTTCAGATAACTTTTACTATTAAGTAATAATATTATATTTTTTGTACTTTCAGTGCTTAGACTTCTTTTTCAAATTAATCTAAGTTAAGTTATATTTCAACAGTTTATCCTCTTAAATCCTTTACTTAAGTTGCTAATTATTCTTTTATCTTATTATTTGAAAGAAGATTTTCAATTCTATATTAAATTAGGTTTTGTGTTTTTTTTAAATCTGGCAATCCTTCAATTAAAATAAGAATTAAGTTAAGAAAGTAATCTTTATTATTTTGATCAAGCAATTTTAGATTATCATCATTCAAACATAAAATACCTTGTTGATATAAATAATGTCCTATATATTGCAAAGATTCTTTATAAATTTCATAATATTATTTTCTATTATTATACCATAAAAATCCCATTAAATACCAAAATGCATTCTAATTCATAAATATTTTATTACTTCTTATGATTTTTAAATTTACTCAAAGTCAACATCTTCTATCAATTATTTAGTGTAGAACCAACTAAAGAATTCAACTAATTTAAGTGGTTCAGTATTTAACATCTAATATATTTGTTTTCTTGATTTCTATGAATATAATTAATGGTGATCTTTAAAATGAATGAAAGTGCCAATTAGAGATTGCTATGTTTATAAGTTAAATAAATACATTATCTGAATTGCCTTCTTCAATATTTAAAATATCACTAACAATTTTTTCATAATTATTATATGAGTCCCATATAATCAAGACTTATTAAAAGTATTAATTTGGAATATCCTAATCTTCTTTAATTGCTGG